TTGCTAAGGAAGACTTGCAGTACATGCACTACTGTTCTTCTGGGCTGGATATCATGTGGTGCAGGTTTGTGTCATTAGGCAGGGGCTGGACCCTCTTTCTCACATTTGTTTAAGTGGCTTTAATAGAGGACACCAGAGAACTCTTACCTTCAGATAAGCATGACTTGTAGGGGAAATGTCTGGGGAAAGAACTTTCTATCTTTCTTCCGAAGCACTGACTCAGGAAGAAAAGGAGTTCTTGTTGCCACTTCTGTTTTGTGAAGCAGCAGCCAAAGATAAAACAAGGGGACAGGTTGTAAACCTGGATTGCAGGTGTGCATCTTCAGTCACATAAACTCAGGTAAACCTCAGTTCTTTTGCTAACTCTGTCTCCCTAACTTACGTTTTTAAGTTATGGCTGAGACTTCATTCCATAATACCTGAATATCTACAGCCTCACATGTGAGATGTCTGTACTTGTTTACAGTGCTTTATACTGTGCATTAGTAAAAGGGCTACCTCTAGTAATCCGTTATACTTTTGATGTTCCAATTCAGTCTATATCTCATCTAAGAGTGATTCTCACAAGAAGAAACTTGTGGCTGGTGTTGAATACCACAACCAGCGCAGAATTCAGCAGCAGGAACGTGAAAATGTTGGTATGGTGTCTCCTCTTTGCATTCCCATGCAGTTTGGCCTTTCTGCCATAGCAGGATATTCTTTGCTGTCTTCAGAATTATGCTTGTGACAAAGACTGTTTTGACCTGCTTTATCCCATCAAGTCCTGGAGTGCCTGCTCTATAGATGAAAGGCAGGTTGGATGGTCCTCTGGACATGACGTGAAGATCTCTGTAGTCAGGGAAAGTCTTCAGTGAGCTTTGTGTCAAACCTTTTCTCATGAGCTGGACCTACACCAAAGAGCCCCCATTCCCACAAGAAATTAGCAAATTCTCAAAACTCTGTGTTCACAGCTGACTTTAGCTCCTGTAGTATAGCTTATCTCATCCACGGTAAACACTGAGAACCAAAGCGTACTACTTTTTCAGGATGAACCTAACAGAGGAGAATTTGTTCTTTTTTCTATTTTGAGGCTTCCTATTTTTATATTGCAATGAAAAGCAGTACCTAGTACTTCACAGTGAACCTCTGATTTCTAAATGCTGTTCACTCTCAGGGTCCAGGGGCTGGAAAATTTTTATTCATTTTGATTTTTCCTAGACTTTTCCAGTCCCTTTGAGGCAGTGAATTAATTTTCCCTGTATTTTCTTGCCTATAATATGTCCTCATTGCACTCCACAGCTGAAATGGTTTCTCAGAGGGCAGGAAACAGTTTTCCCAAATGTGTATTTGTAGTATTTTCTTGATAAGGGTGGACTCTTGAACGTTTCCTAGTTACCTATATATAGATTTAAAGAAAACCCTCGAGTTAGTTCAATTTCTTGTTTTATCTATGCAATTCTTTAGCAGCATTCAGATATATACAATCAAGATGGTAAAACTGTTTTTTACAAGAAGCCAACATCAAAAGAAGGGTGATTCTTTGGTAACTTTTTGAGATACTAAAAAAGGGGTCTGTAAGCATTTTAGCAGCACAAAGTAAGCCAGTGCCTTTTCACATTGCAAGTTGCTGTGTGAAGACATGTAAAGCCTCCTGTAGTCATTAGGATTCCTCATCTGGATTCAGGGGTATCATGCAGAGCCACAAAAACCCTTTTATGATTAAGGCTGCTATCTGGTGATACAGTATTCAGAAGAACTGTTTGATGCTTTCCAGCAACACTTTACATTTTAATCTATACCAATTATTTTTAAAAATACATTTTGAATGTCTGGTAGCATTTCAAGAGAGTGCACAGGGTGAGTGGGTGCAGCATCTGACAGCCAAATATAGGTGAGGCTGCTGCAGCTCTGTGTCCCCAGGTACAGCATCTATCCGCAATGGATATATATGCTCATTATATATATGTGTGTCTGTGTGCGTGCATATACATGGTTATATACACACATGGATCGACACAGACAGAGGACTCGCAGCAGTCACACAATTATGAGTGGCATAGGTAGCTTAATCTTGTTTCTCCTCTCTGGCTAAGATGAAAGTCAAATACAGACATCTATATAGCACATCTGAAAAGGCGTATATACAACATAGGTATGTGCATACGTGCTTGCAGCCCCTGAGCTCACTGCAGCTGCAGGTACCCCAACCACATGGACTTCTCTGCCCACAGTCCAGCTCCGGCTGCTGCACTCAGAACCCTACACACACAAGTGCAGGCAACATAGGCTACCCACAGGGATGATCCCCTCCTGTGATGGTTTGGGGAGTGGTGAATGGGCCCCCCTTGTGTCTGTGGTAATCAGTTGTTAATGAGCCACCCTAACAAGGAAGCTCTGTGCTGAGCTTCATGTCTTGACCGACATGCTCCTATCTTGGTCCAGAGGAGGGCCACAAGGATGATCAGGGGACTGGAGCACCTCCCATATGAAGACAGGCTGAGAAAGCTGGGGCTGTTCAGCCTGGAGAAGAGAAGGCTGCGTGGAGATCTCATAGCAGCCTTCCAGTATCTGAAGGGGGCCTGTAAGGACGCTGGGGAGGGACTATTCACTAGGGGCTGTAGTGATAGGACAAGGGGTAATGGGTTAAAACTTAAACAGGGGAAATTTGGGTTAGATATAAAGAAGAAGTTCTTTACTGTGAGGGTGATAAGGCACTGGAACAGGGTGCCCAAAGAAGTGGTAAATGCTCCATCCCTGGCGGTGTTCAAGGCCAGGTTGGACAGGGCCTTGATCAACTTGATTTAGTGGGAAGTGTCACTGCCCATGGCAGGCAGGTTGAAACTTAAAATCCTCTCCAACCCAAACCATTCTATAATTCTATTTCCAAACTGGTGGGATAGGCACCAAACCAATTATACACGGGTGAAGTGGCACCTAAAGTTTAGGTGTACAGTGTGTTAATTTCCATGAAGACCCTGTTGAATATTTGTTAGAACACTGTTTATTTTTTTGTTTTGTTTTTTTTTTTTCTGGAAAGCTGAGGAAGATGGGATGTCTTAATTATCAAATTCTGGGATTTTTTCATGCTGTCCTCACACTGCTCAGGTGGACTTCTCTGTAGAGGCATATAGTTTATGTAAAGCTATAGCCAAAGCCTAGTACCCCTGTGGCAGATTGCTGGGAGGCTTTCAGGAAGGCTTTGAGCTCTTCAGTGGAAAACAAAGAGAGCGATGGGTTTTCCCTGGAAAGATGACTCGGTACCCTGGAAAGAAGGAGGTGTGTGTCATATTACACTGAGTCAGCTTTATCACACAGAAGATTTAACGATAAAAGCATGTTTACTCAAAACAGATTTACTGGAATGGAATGAAGTCACTAAAAAAGTTAAAATCACAAAACCATATTACTAAGGATGCACTTTAAGCAAATTCTTTTTTCCCGTTTCAACATTTTAGGCAGCTTTACAATCTAATTAGCTCTTTTGCATCCTGCTCTGTAAGCTAGTTAGAATTATGTGACTAATTATAGGGGTCTGCCATCTGAGTTCCCTGTGGTGGGCCATGAGGTAGCATGCGATGGTGCTAGACCAAAGTCATTCACACCTACCATCTCACTGCCATGCCTTGATGAGATTTCTACATATCACTGCTTTAAGTGGGCATTAAGCTACTCTCATCAGGTTTTGGTACTCTTAATGCAGCCTGTGGCTGAAAAGTTTTATTTCATGAGAAATAACAATAATAGACTTCCCCCCCAACCCCCATATTGATTGTACTTACTATATGCTTTGCAGAGAAGCTACCCCAGATCTATAAACACATGGAAAGAGGAACAGAATGCCTATGCACTGTGATCTTTTGCTATGTAATAGATTAAAGGTAACGTCTCCTAGGGTCCTACCAGAGTGTGGTTTTTTACTGACTTTGTTTTATTTTGCTGCACTGGAAGTGGTCTTTTATGGAATGAAAATATTGACAAGGGAAAGCTTAAAGAAAAGGAAATATGCTTATTAGAAATTTTGAGCTTAGGATCCGGTTTTAGAACTTGAAGCGTTTAACATTTGGTTCAAATTAAAGCACAAGCCCCTAGGCTGAATCTCTGACTAAAACTGAATGAGAGGATAAAAGATAGGCTGACCTTTTCATATGAAAATACATGATTTTTTTTTCATTTAGGGGGAAATTAGAAGGGCCTTCTGTCCAAAATAGAGTGAAGTTAGTTGATCCAAGGTGATCTTTTCAGTTCCTTGCACTAGTTTGTTGTGCTGTAGGATGAAATAGCTCTGAGCCAGAACTGTGGAGATTACATCATGAGAAAGGACTATTGGTTCATGCTTAGTAAGATTGTCCTGAGCTGCAAGCCATTAAGCTACTTGTATTTCAGAAATCAGCATTTAGACTGAAACAGTAAGCCAGTCTCAAAATTAGAACAGTTTTCATTCCATAACGATGGAAGTGCTCGCAGATGTGTGAAATACCAACCACCTGTTGCACTGACATTAACTGTTGTCTGTTGTCCTCACATTTGATGTACCTAAATACTTTCTGCAGCCTAGATGTGTGAACCTGTGATTGTAAATATTGAAGGTTGGTTGAGTTGTGATATCTGTGGATGTTCATGGTCTTGATCCATGGAAATAAAATAATCCAAGTAGTTTGTTCCACCTGCTGGCTTTTGCTGTAGGTGTTGGCTGTGCACTGACACCAGAATTGCTGTTAGAGAGGGGAGAATTAGTCTCTTGGCTTTGGTGCTTGCTTGACTGACTTTTCTCAACCATTCTTTTTCTTGTCTTTGAGAACTGTCTTTTATGAACCTCAGCTGAACTTAAAGCTCTGGTGTCCTTGGTGGGACTCTCAAGCCTGTTCAGCTTTCCTTTTAAAATGCAAGGAGGCTTCCCTGTGACTACTGTGTTGGTAGCATTTTTTAAAAACCTGTAAGGATTTATTTATTTCTTACTGTAGAAAACACTGGATTGAAATGAAGGCACAGGAACTTGGCCTTTTTTAAAGGCCAAATACTGATTTTTTTACCCTATTGATAAATGGGCTTTGGCAGTTACTAATCAATATTTACTACCTTTTGAATATTTGTGGGATGCTTCACTAGATGCAGAACAATTAATTGTTTCTAGCATTGGTACTTGCTTAATCATTTTTGATGGCAGCTGGAGAGGAATATGAATGTTCTCCTGGGTAATGATTAAGCTTCACAGACCTATCAAATCTGGTAAGACTCCAAAAATGTGTAAAAACTCTGTTTCATAAATTAAGATGAGAAACTATAATTAGGTGTTGTTTGTAGTTCAAGAATGATGTCATATTTGGCATAATGCTACAGAAAAACTCCTAGCTCATGGCTCAGTTCTGTTCTTTCTCAAGTCAGTGTCTTCAGTGTCTGCTCTTGAGGCTGCCTGTCTCTCTTAAAGAGGAATGGTTCATGTGATACCAGCTTTTTAGAGGCTGATTCAGTGTTATCACCCTCATGGGAAGAGAGGCAGGAGGCGCTGCTTGGAACTGGTCATGACTGCATGATTTCCAGCCACCTTATCCTTATATAAAACTGATTAAGCAGCTTTAACTTTTTATGCTGGCATAAAATCCTCTAAGGCCATTCCAGCTTGACAGCCCTGGGCTTCATGGGAGAGGCACACAGAACTTGCTCCAGCATTTTTTGATGCCTTTTCCCACCCTTCTATTTGTACTAACTGTAGTAATTTGGGGTTAAAAAAAGGCTTGAGGAAGAATAATATCACAACAAAAACATATGTTTGGAACTCTAAAGCATCACAGGAAACAATGTTCTTCCAGCTTACATGAAGCTGCAGTATGTTAGCAGTCCTTTTGTATCATCTTTTCCAGTCTTGCCTTTTCACACAATTAAGCATGGGAGCTGCTGAATTTTGGAGCGACTGCATTAACTAAAAGTCACTATAATTGTGGAGGAATAATTTGATCTGTAGTAAGTCTCTTTTCAGTTACCTGAAGTTTTTCTGAATATTTATTTGGATAAAGCTTGAAAGCCTCCTCTATATTGTGACTATTTAAATTTTATTTGCTTTTGCTATAATCAGATACAAGCAAATCTGTTCATTGGAAAGGCAAGTATAAGGAAAGAGGAATTTTGTTCTTCATACAGGTAAAGAAACATCCTTTCAAACCAGACATGTCATCAGGTCATGAGGACAATCTTACTAATTTTGTTGTTTCCCTGTTTCGGGGTTCTTTGGCCAAGTATGCGTAAGTGCTTAACAAGAATACTGCAGGGTTTGTAGTTAAAGGTAAAACACATCATTGTCATGACTTTTTTTTTTAATGTTCTGTTTACTACCTGAAGCAGCCTCCCTACCTTTCGTTCACAGAAATGTTTTACTTTTGCAAATGTGGTGTTTTATTCACTTACAAGGTTGAAAAGGATGCAGTAGCTCGAAGGGCAGAACAGGCTATATATGCTATTGGAGTAGTAGCAGATTTAAAGCCTGGTAACTTGTGCTTTAATAGGACTGTACAAGAAAAGCTCATAATACTAGAAAATAAGTACTTCCCCATTCCCAAAGGAGTTGTACAGCATATGTATAGACTGATGTATGCTGAGAGAAGGCATTTCACACCATTATTGTATGAGGCACAGCAGGAGAAATATTAAAGTAGATACAGAAGAGATAAATAGAAAGTTAGATATTACAGAGGTGGAATTTATATTTACAGGCATTCACTCTCTACATTAAAGGTAGATTTAGTGAATGAAGATGCATAGCTTTATAGGCAAGTGAACAGAAAAGGCAGCCCAATGAATTGCCCTGTTGCCTTCATTAGGGCAGTGAGGAGCCAGGATATTGTCAATACATAGACAATATGGCTGATATTGTATCTCAACCTGAGATGGCTCTTGCAGTACCAGCTGGGTTGTCCCTTGTGTGCTTTGTGGCATTCCCAGGCAGAGGAGCACTGTGTCAAGAACTTGGACCAACCTTTTGGGCTGCACAGGTTATGTGTGGACCTTTGTCTTACCGGTGCCCACTGCAGATTGAATATTCTGGCTAGAGATCTGACTAAAGAGATAAATACAAACCTTCCCTGAACAGTATGCTTTACAGAACACACTTGACAGCCTAGTTTTATGGAAGGCTTTTACTGACATTCACTTAAGAAGCAGCATCATTCCTTTGTGGTTTTGCAACTCCTATGTAATGACATGATGTTGGACTAGTCTGCTTAAAGCCTTTAGACCATAATGGCAGAGTATGTGTTGTGTGTGTGATGTTTTTCTATGGGTTTGTCAAAACTCTTAACAGGTGTTCTTACCCCTTTTCTAGAAATCATTACTGTATTGTAGTATGCCATAAATAGTGGAAGTGAAACAAATGTTCATCTCCTGAGTGCCTGTAAATGTTCTGCCTCAAATATTCAGCTTAGCCTGGCAAATAGTCCTTATGTGACTTTTCTCTCTTGCTATACGTTCTATTTCTTTTCACTTAAGAGTGTAGCACTTGGTTAACTCTTTCTGTGAAATCTAATCTAATTTTAAAATGTCCAGTTTTCAGAGCTATGCAGAAAGTAACAGCACATGAAGTCCTACTCCACCTCTCAGCATCTGTAGCTCTGCCCTGGATGGTAATCATCGTGTAGTGTTGGAAGGAATGCACCAAGACAGCTAACAAATGTCACCACTTCGTATGCACAAATGTATTTTATAAATAAATAAGCAGATTTAAAAAGTACACTAGTTGTTACTTTAAAAAAACAACTTTCCTCATAAAAAACTTTTGAAGCTAAACAGGAGGGGAGGTGAGAAATGTTCTTTGTAGAATTGTGCTCACACTAACGTTATGGTATTTAATGATAGCTGTCCAAATATAACAGGTGGTTTTCTGTCTGTAAATGATCTTAGTTTCTAAATAGTGTAGATACTTCAGTGGAGAAAGAGAAATATGAAAACTGTAATGTAAATATTTGAAATCTCAAAACCATGTTGCTCTTGCTATCTAATATAATATTACATATATATGTATATATACAGTTCTGAATGTGCTGTCAGGTGCTGTAGGCTAATGTTTCCTGAGACTTTGTGACAGACTAGCTGGCAGCTGTCTGAGCCTGCTCAGTGCTCTGCTTCACATCCTTCCAGATCAGAAGGCACTGGGATTTATTTTCCTCTACCTTCCCCAGGTGCTAAGGCAACAAAGAAAGGACAGACAGCAATGCTGAAGGACACTTGTGCACCAAAATTCCTGCAGTAGCTAATGAATCTGCTGGGGATTGATCACATTCCTTACTATTAAATAAATCCAGAAATTTATAGTGGAAGTTCAGAAATCATTTGTTTTATGACCCAGCAGGAATTTTGGTTTGTTGCTCTCCTACCAAATAGACAATAAGGTGATCAAGAAAATGGTTCCTGGACCTCTGCTGACTTTTAATCATATTGCTCTTCACAGTGGCTGGAAGCAGCTGTGTTTGTTACTGACACCTGCTTAGTCCAAAATAATTGTGAAAATCAGTAGCCTACAGGGCATGTTACTGAAGTACAACTCCCCACCACCAGGTTGCATATCTACAGGAGGCATTTTGTGAAATTCAGTGTCTTAACTTCTTCTTAAGCAGCCTTATAAATGAACCCCAAAAATGCCAAGTTGTTACAGGCTGACAAAGCTTTGAATTTTGCCAGCTTCCCAAGAGAATATTATGCCAGAAGTATATCATTCTCCCGTTTCCCTTTCTTTTAAGCTGAAGTGCGGTAGAGGATGCCTAAGACTATTTCATAGTGCTTCAGGCAAATAGTCATATAGTCCAAGTTTCAGTAGTTTATAATAATAATTGAATAAAAAAGATATCTAGAAATGTGATAATTACAGGTTATTTTTCCTCCTGAACTTTGCTTCTTATACATTTGCGATGGTGTATTTGCATAAAGTAGTTTAGAAATGACAGTAGCATCTCCTCACCTTATTCCTGGAGCATTTGTTTCAGGTAGTATCTGCTGGCCTTTGCTAATGAAAGAAGTTTGTGCTGCCCTTGTTCTTTTTGTGCCAGTGCTGTAGAATGAGCGGATATAAACCAGGGAATTTAATTTATGTCTAACACAATGGTGAACTGAAGTTTTTGTAATTTGCCTTAATTTTCACAAGGTTCAGTCTGTTTCCATTTTCTAAAAGCTTGGATAGCAATTCTTTACTGCCATTTCATGGTGTGTATTGTGAAGCAGAAGGGGTCTGTTTTCCTACTCCACTGGCTCCCATGGTATCATTCGCACATCATGAAGAGGAAGGTTGTTGCCTATGAAGGACTATCCAAGTGCCAGAGATGTCCTCACTGGACTACAAACTTTGTAACTGCATCACCTGGAAAGCACTTTTGACTATCTAACTTGGGGTGATTTAACTGAACTTGAGATTTCTTTGGCTAATTGAATACATGATGGCAAAAACCTGTAGTGATTATTGCATGATGGATACCAGGGAAATTTTTTTTTACTTATGTTGGATGAGGGCAGTTGATTTGGTGAAATGCGACCTCCTTTGCCACTCTTCTCTCACCTTGTTTGCTTCATCTGAGCATGTATATAATTGTTACAGTTTTGCTCCTCCACATTTTTCGGCATCGGAACTGGGGTGGCAGGAAATCCAGCTGAGGCACTGTTGTTATTTTTGTTCATCATACAGAGTTTATATTTTAAAAACAAATAAAGCTATTTTTATAAAAGGGCAACAACGCGTGTGAACATAATGTAGAAAAATCACAGAGGAGACATCAAGTCCTTAAATGTTAAATAATCTACTTTACAAAGTAGGAGAGTTTTGCCAATTCCCATCCTATCTGGGACGTTTCTGCAGTGAGACTTCTGAAGACTACGATGAGAGTTTCACAATAGACTGGCAGTAGTCAACAGTCTATATTTCTGCTTTAGTATTTTTCTTTCTTTTTTTTTTTTTTTTCAAATGCAGATACAGAAGAAACTTTCCCTACGTGTTTTTGAGATTAATTTCTTCTCTATTCCAGAACAATGTATTAGACGTTAAGGCAAGAACAGAACATGATGATCCATGCTGACTTCCAGTGAGGCCAACCTTTCCTGTATCTACCCTAGCATTTACTGTCTCAAATAAAACAACTTGTGATTTATTGTTTTTTAAATGACAAATCAAGTGCATTAAAAGCAAATGAACACTTACACTAATTTGTTAGGATACGTTGGCTCCAGATGTCAGATACAAAAACTGTTTGAAAATATTATTTCTTTTTTTCCCTGATCATTTTCATACTAAATAGTAAACATGTTACTGTGGACTGGATGAAACCTTAACTCAATGTTTGATGTATCTTAGTCATAGTAAAAGTAAGAAGGACATTATAAGAACAGCTGAAAGTCTGAGAGCCTCTGCTCCCCAGAATCCTGCCCTTTGACCTGACATAGAGGTTTAACTTTGAGGCAGAAGAGGTGTACCATGTTGTCTGAGAGCCATTCCTGGGATAGGAAGATGGTATGTTAAAAACATGAGTGGTCAAAGGAAGAGCATTAGGAAACCAAGCACAAAATCAGAAGGAATACTAGGAACAAGATTGGCGGAGAAAAATTGCAGCCAAGGAGTTGTTCAGGCTGTGTTGGCAGGATAGGGCTGGAAACCGTTACCAAAGAAACTGTCTTTTCATTGATTGTGTTGGGTAGAAGGGAAAAAGACATCGCATGATTTTTGTAAGATGGTTGGGCTTTATCAGTCAAATGATCAACGCCATCGTGGTTTCCTTTTCTGATACGGTCTGCAAAAGCAGGACTTTTGCTTTATGGTCCAGAAATGCATAAATGCTTATATGTATTATGTGCACATCTATGAGCATACATGTAGTTTACATTTTTGGTACAGCAAATTAACTAGATGGAGTTAGTAGTGAAGGTCAAAATCTAATAAGGTTATCTGCTTCAGCATGAGGTGTTTCATTTCAGTACTAAAATGGTAAAGCAGGGCTAAGCTTGTAAGCCAATACACATGAAAAAATAATGAATACATTTTGTACTGATTGGCTGAGTTCATCTTCCTCAGATTACCTTGGCTCCAAAAATAAAATAACTATTGACCTAGTTCTAAAAATATACAGGATCGGGTAATACCTTAATTCTGATTTCTTTTGTACTGTCCTGGTTGCAGCTGGGATAGAGTTAATTTTCTTCCTAGTAGCTGTGTTTTGGATTTAGTATGACATTAATGTTGATAACACACTGATGTTTTAG